ACCCCTACCCCTAGTTGGGGGCAGTGCCACTCAGCTGATTCCTCTACTTGCACCTCTTTCTCACTCTTGCCTGAGAGGCATCCCTAACCCAGAAGAAAAAGGAGACACCTCTCTCTGAAATGGGAGCAAGAAAAGGAGGCAACTGTTGTCTCCTCATTACTGCTGCTTGCAAGAAAAGCTCTCAAGTATGGACTTGTTTGGGATGCCTCTCTCTCAAATGGGAACAAGAAAGGTGCCAAACAGGTGATCAGCTAAGTGGCATTGCCCCCACATTGGCACCACCACCTAACTGCTTTTCCCCTTCCCACCTGTGAGCTTGAGGGGCTTCTCTCAGGTGCAGGTGTGTGGAGCAGCAAGGATGCCGCTGCTTCCCACGGCATTACCCAGTGGATCCCCCACCTTTGTCTGAGTATAGATCAGGTCCCCCCTTCTGCTCCAGCAGTTTTCTCTGGAACAGGAGGCGAGGGTGCACTGTCTTCTCTGCTGCCCTTCAGGGCATGAGTTCTGTTTGTGCAGCTGGGACTGCTTGCCAGGCATGGCAAACTAAATTCAGCTCACAACAGCCATTGTCAAAGGGAGCAAATGCATCCTCCTCACAGTATCTCTTGGGATACTGGCTAGAGCAGTGAGAAGGAAGGAGATGCTGGGAGGATTTACCACCATGAGCCTGATCATCTGTCAGGTATAGCAATGTAAAAAAACTGTGAACCTTGATAACCGGGTTATTTGATGTGACATGTGAACCCAGCCTCTGTCTTTAATACCACCAATCAGCTACAGAGCAGAATTGTCATAATGAACTGAGAAATCTAGTTGCATGTCACCTCCAGCAGATGGTGCAGTTAAAAAATTTCAGGTCTTCTACAAAATAAAAAAAGCTCTAAAGTGTACTTTTAAAAAACAATTTGAAGATTGGCTGCTGCCCTTGCCATGGTAATTAGACTGCCAAAGGAGAAGAGTGAACAATGCCGATGTGTAAAAGTGGATGTAGATATCACGTGAAATAAATCTGAACGCAATAATTTTATTTATTTGTTCGTATGAAATGTGTTATAAACATATGAAACATATACCAATCATTGCATCAAATCTATGTTTATACTGAACTAAATGTGCATATGGAAAATTCAATAAACAATTTGTGTAATTAAAGACATGCTTGAGTTATTTACACTATAGGCAGCTTTTGGAGTCTGCCTGCTCTCCTTCTGGCATGCTTTTGGCATGTGGAATAAAGATGCAAGGTATTATCTTATGGCAGAAAAGCAGTTTTAATCAGATGCCTTTGTGTCTGTTTTGCATTTATTTATATATACAGCCCAATAGCCAAGGCTCTCTGCACTGTTAACGCAAGTTTAAAACACTCAAACAACAAAGGCTTAATATAAGACAATAAAAACCACAGCAATTGCAAACTGAATCAGCACAAAGGTATAGCAATGGTACAGGATAAAATGCAATCTTAACACTAACATTAGAAAGTTAACTTCTAAAATACTGGAAAAACAAAAAGGTTTTCATCAGGCTCCCAGAAGAATACAGATTAGGTGCCAGGTGCACCTCTACAGCTGGGATGCCACAACTGAAAGACCTTTCTCCTGACATGACCTGCCCCACTTCTGTTGGAGGGTATTCCTGGAGAAGAACGCCCAAAGATGACCTCAGGGTCCAGGTAGGTACATTTGGGACAAGGCATTCCTTTAGAAAACCTGGCCTCAAGCCAGACTTTGAATGTTAGTACTAGCACTTTTGAATCAGGTATGGACATCTATATTTCTATGAATTTCTATGAACACTTCCCCTACTCCCATTCATTCCCAGAAGCTGGAGAGCCTGAAGATAGCTCGCTCTGTGTTCCAGTTATGCCAGTATAATTGAACAGTTTACAAAACCCGTAAATAAATACATTGCAGTAAGAAAGTTTTAGCTTGTTCATACTTAGAGGAAGCAATGTTAATTTGCCACTATTGCAGAGCAGTGGAGATGTGGGGGGAATGAGTTCTTGAGTGGCAGAAGCTGCTGCTTCTCAGAGCCATTTAAAACAAACAAGTGAAGTTTGACATTTCACGCCCAGTCCCACTACACTGTTTTGAATGTTGATAGCCAGGATTTAGAAATTTTATAAATAATTTGTTAAAAACTGTTTTTTTAAACAAAAGTTCTTGCTTTAAAATGAACAGTAATATCTCTGAACATTTCATTCTGGAAATATAACTAATGAAGTACCACAGATTCTGAAAGCATTCTGCTCATATACTTCTGGTGAAGTAGAAAAGTAGTTCATATTAAGCCAAAATATGATAGAATATGGCAGCGGAAAAATTCATACAAACACACACCTCATTAATTGTATAAACATTGTAGGAGTTTTAGTGACCGAGTTGCCTGTTAGTACAGGTTAAGTATGGGTTGTTGTTGAATCTTAGGTTGCTGTTAAATGTGAACCCTGCACGATGTCTTGATTATGGATTGTTAAGTACAGACAACTCACAGTTTACAATATAACAACTTTTTTAGTATTTTGCAGCAAAAACCAAGAAAGAATTTTGCCCCTTATTACTTATGTATTTATTAAAATATTTATATGCTACATTTCAGGATATCAATCCTATTAAGGAGGCTTAGAAGTAGAACAATAAACATAATCATATTTTTAAATCATTGGGATCGTTCTCTCATTGACCATCATTCGGTTCTGATTTGCCAATAATTATTTTATATAATCAGTATATAGTATATTGTATTGCTTTATGGCTTGTGCTTGAAATTTTACAGATTGTATCCTGCCCTGAGATTCATTGAAATGAGAGAGGTGGACACAAATAAATTAAGTAGTACCTTCCTCCATGGATATTTCTAATGGAACTTCTCTATTTTCAAAGTTAAATGTTCAAGTTTTCTCCTACCAAATTCTTCAGAGTTATCATACATTAAGGAACCATATTTATAGCAGCTACAGCCATATCATTTGTGGAATGCTATTTATAATTCTCATTAAGGAAAATTGAATTACTCTAGGACATTACTGATTTTCCTTTTATCAGACAAATGAACATTAAGGAACTTCTAAAGTGAAAGACATCTGAGTCAGGAAACAAGACAGGGCTCTTGAGGGATTCCAAGTCTAATTACTGGAATGGAAAAGTACAGGTAAGCAAACAAATTCTGCAGTCCTAAACACAATCTTTTGGGTAAGCATCAGTTGTATCCTCCTGAAAGTATTGAATAATTGCATTTAGAATTTAAATATAAGTTACTTGAGAATCTTTTCCTGGAGAAAGAAATAATCCTGTCATAGCATTTAACTATTGTGCTCTAGAACTTCAACCCCCATTGCAAGTGTACAAGAGGCAAACTAGGCCAGCCTAAGCACAGAGAAGTATTTGCTTCAGGCAGCTGATTCTGAGTATCAAAAAAGGGCAGCAAACTGTTAAGTGATTTGTTATTGTTGTATATTTAAGGTGTGGGAGATGCACTACGGGATGCTTCATAGAATCACAGAATCAAAGAATAGTAGAGTTGGAAGGGACCAAGAAGGCCATTGGGGCCAACCTGTTTCAGTACACCATTTATACCATCCCACTCAAATGACTTCCACTTTCTTTTTGAAAGTGTCTAGTGTGGGAGAGCCCACAACCTCTCTAAGCATCTGGTTCCACTGTCTTATTTCTCTGACACTTAGAAAAATTTCCCTGATATCTAGCCTGAATCTGGTTTGTAACAACTTGAGGTGATTATTCTGTGTCCTATGCTCTGATTTGAGTGAGAAGAGATCTTCCCTTCCTCTTTCTTGCAGCCTTTTAGGTAGAGTGATATCACATCCCCCTTCATTCTTCTCAGCGCTGAATATTCCCAGTTCTCTCAGTCTTTCCTCATAGAGCAATGTATCCAAATGATGGATCATTTTCTTGCCCTCATCTGAACACTTTCCCATTTTTCTTCATCTTTCTTCTGCCTAGAAGTGGACACAATATTCTAGATTAAGTCTGACTAGTGAAGAGTATAGGGCATCTATTACTTCTCATGATTTCTATTAATGAATCCTGAAATAGCATTTGCCCTTTTTATAGCTACATTGCATTGTTGGCTCATATTTAGCCTTCTGTCCACAAAAACTCCAAGGTCTTTTTCTTTTTCAGTCTGTTGAGCCATGTATTCCCCATCTTGTATCAATGCATCTGGTTTCTTTTTCCTAGGTAGGGAACTTGGCAATTGTCCCTACTGAATCAAATTCTGTTGATTTCAGCCCAGCATTCAGGCTTATCTAGGTCACCCTGGATCTTCTTTCTGTCTTCCAGGATGTTTGCTATTCCACTCAGTTTTGTATCATCTGCAAATCTGATTATTGTGCCCTGTACTTCCTCATCTAGATCATTAATAAAGATATTGAAAAGTACTGGCCCTAGGACTGAACCTTGTGGCACCCCACTAGTTCCCTTCATCCAGCTAGAGAATATGGCATTGATGAACGCTCTTTAATAGCCAATTTTGGATCCACCTAATAGTTGTTCTATCAATTCCACTTTCTGCTAGTTGGTTTATCAGGATGTCACCCCCCGTCCCCACCGCTGCTTACTTTCTCCTGCAAGGACCAAAGGTGGTTTACAAAGTTTTTCTCCACTTCTTTTTATCCTTACAACAACCCTGTGAGGTAGGTTAGGCTGAGAGAATGTGAAACTAGCATTCACACGCCACACAACTATTCGTTGTTCGTTATTAATGTTCTATATATTCCAGGAAGTGTTTCTGGTATTGAAAGAAGCTCTTCTGAGACCCAACCCATTTTCACTGTATTCAGCACTAGCTAATCAGCCCTTTTTTAAAAAAGTGTGTAGGTGATAAATGCTTTGTTTATCCTCCAGCCTATTTTAGCTTTCACCATATCTCATGCACGGCACCTGATATTCCCGCTAGGGTTTTCGGGAGATGTAGTTCCTCATTACTAGCAGTGAGAACTACAAGCTCCGACGCAATATGCGGCATATGCGCATGCGCGGCGAGATTGGAGGCCACCATTTTGGCAAGCGGAGGTTCGGGGATTATTGGGTTGTCTCTTAGTTCAGCTGGGTGGTATGGCGGTTTCTATTTGATTGCCTAGACGTTTGGAAAGAGAGTGGAGCCTTTTTCTTGAGGTTAGTTTCTTGCAAGGGAAGCTTGATTTGGAGCGACGATGCTAAAAGGAGCGTGCGGGGGGGAGGGAGAATGGTTGACTTCCACAGTCTGTGGGGTGGGGGACAGCTGTCGATGGGTTTTATATGAGGATCGTTAAAGTGGTGTACCTGTAACGGTTTCTTTGGGGTGCGTTCTTCTACCTGAGGTACACAGCCGTCAGGGAAGGAGGTAGCGGATTTATAGTGTTTTCTGTTGGGTTGGTGGGGGGACTCCTGACAGGCAGGAAAAAATCCACGGAAGCGCAGCACTTCGGGTGCGGTAGGGGTTAGGCATGCGCAGGAACGCTGTGTGGAAAGAAAGCCGGAGCGGCTCACACCATGAAGCCGGCCTCTCAGGGTCGTTAGGCAGCTGGTGGTAGTCCCTGGGAAAAGGCCGCGCTTAAAATAGCATGCTGACTCAGTGTCTCATTCTTATCTCGCGGTGAGGAGGGAGGGCATTTAAAAGCAACAACAACATGACTGTTGGGTGTTTTGCTCCTAGCGCAAGCAGAAGCTATTGTTTGGTTGATGTTTTTAATAATTGTAGTGGTCTTTTAGTCCCGCACTGATAGAACTTAAAGTTGATATATAGTTAATGGACAGTAGTACCACTAAAATGTGAAAGCAACTTGATGTTAAAACATTTTGTTCGTTGAAAAACATGTTCATTGTGGTCCCTTCTTCATAACGTGATTAATTTTACAGTGTAAGAACAGAAAAGTCATACTGGGTGGGACCATGTTTACATATAGGCCGGCATTCTGTTTATAAAGGCAGACTGACTGTGGGAAACCCATAAGTAGGACATGAGTGCAATAGAACCCTCCTGCCCATGTTCTGCTGCAAATGATACAGGCAAACTACTTCTGATACTGTGTGCAGTATATAGCCAGCTGGGCTCATAGCCACTGATGATCCCAGGTGCTAGTGCAGGTTGAAAAATACCATCCTATGGAGTTTCACCAAGCAGCACATATTGTACACCTATATTATGATTCTGTTCACTATAGTTCTGTCATGATGTATTTAAATTATTATGTGTAGCCAGTGGATAGTACAACTGAAATGCAAAAGCAGCTTATAGCTAATACCTTTTTGTAAATTGAAAAACTATTTTTCATAATATCTGATTAATTTTATACTGAAATCCTACTTCTACTCAGAAGTAAGTTCTAATGTATTCAGTGAGACTCACTTTTGGGTAAATATATATAGGGCTGCAATCCTAATCATGAAGTGACTAAGAGTAATAGCTTGTATCATGCTGTCAACTTGGGGAAGAGTAATTGGTATCATGCTGAAAACGTATTATTTTATTGTTTTAAGATGCTTCATGCTGAGTGTAAGCCAAGATACCTTGAAAGTCAGGATGCATCAGTAACTGAGCCTTGTTCTAAAAGGATGAAATCAACAGAAGAACCTTATGGTAAATCATACGATGGATTGCAAAGACTTCATGAGGAAATACATATTAAAAAAACCCATAGTGGATTTATTCCATTGTCCCTACCTGATGATCATGAGGTACAACAAGAAAAAGAACCTGCAGAAGTTGTGGACCAATTTAACAAGGCATTCCCTGGTAAAAAAATAGTGTCATCAGAGCCTTCAAATTCAGTAAACAAGAGTGAAGGAGAGACTGAACTGTATAGCACAAGCAAAGCATTTATTGGACCTCTTTATAAAAATGAAACCAGTACCCTACATGATCAAAAGAAATTTGACAGCAGTTCTCCCAAACGGTCAAACACAACACTTGGTAGAAGTAATAAGAAAATAGTGGCACCAAAACAGGCTCTTCCCTGTGATGTACCGAAATTAGAAGATGAATTGTCCCAGTTTTATAGTGAAATTTCTCAGCTTGAAAGCAATGAAAACTGTTTGGACAGTGCCTTGCAGGGTACTGAAACAAACTCCCATAAACAACCTGTGGAACACAATAAATGGAATCAAAAAGTTTGTGAAAGCTCTCAGGAATGGCCCTGTAAAACATTTCTTAAGAATGGTGATGGATATTCATTTTATAATGAATCAAATAATCACAGAACAGGCAGAGAACAATATCACTCTGGTAACTCAGGTCACAGAAGTGGCTTTCAACGATGTTGTGACCATGAAAGAAATGTAAGGGAAGCTGAACAGTTATGTAATAGACATGAAGGTTCTAGATTCTACAACAGTTCTTTGGCTCAGCTTAGACCTAGTTGGCAACACACACATCCATTTATTGTACCCTACAGCCCAATACCTCCTCAGTTCCCTGCTCATTTTAGTTTTCAGGAACCTAATTCCTCATTACTTCATTCAGATATTTTCCAACACTCAAATGTGGGACCATTTAAAAACTCCCATATAAACATGAGCAGTTCAATATCGGATCAAAATAGCGAGTATGCTAATCATTTTGGTACTCATACTGCGCAGACCACCAGAAGTGGATATAATGTGCCTGATGAACATGTGGTTAATGGTTTCTGTGAAACCCGACCATGTTGGGAAGACATTCGATCATACCAGACTGAAGGATCAAACATAGTTTCTCAGCAGTTTCCTGAGGACAAGCTATGTGAGTCACAAAAGCTACTTCTAATTTTAAGAGGTCTTCCAGGCTCAGGGAAGACAACATTGTCTCAGTAAGTACATGCTGATATTACCTTAAAAATAAAGCATGTGAATATTTCATGTCATAGGTTCTTCTGTTTAGTGCTCAATATATAATAAAGTTTTATTGAGAACAGTGAAAACAGTCCAAGTTACACAAGATTTTATTGTACCTTGTTTTGCTTTTTCAGTAATAAAGTTGTTACGGTGTTGTATACATGTTTTTAGGGTGCAATTATGGTGGTGTATAATTCCTCCCTATTGCATCTGCAGAATTCACATTCATCCTTGTCTCTGAGTTTGCTCTTGCAAACTGGCAGACACAACCTTTTTCGTTCTGGGCAGGGGTGTAGGGAGGGCTCTTCAAGCTTAGAGACCCAGCTATGATGTCAGAGTGCTCTTCTGAATTCATAGCTAAGTCTCAAAAAATCTTATGCTTGTCTAGACACTGTCTGATTCCATAATATTGTGCTGTAAATTATGTTTTTTTCTTGATTTTGAAATGTTGGAATGATTTTGAAAGTTGATTTTAAATAATGGAGATATTTAAAAACCATAAACCATTAATAACTTATTTTTGATTGAGGATTAGATGGCTAGGATCCTTGTTGCCCTGGTTTCAAAATTCCATTATGGATTATTTGGTGTTGAATGCTCTTGTCTATACTTTCCCCATTTATAAAATGAAATCATTATTCAGTGCAAGGTTGAACAAATTGGGGTGTAAAGAATTCTTGTTTTCTTATGTGGAAAAACCTAGAAGTAAAGATGCTATGTGCAAACAAGTCTTGTGTCACCTAAAGGTAAATTATGGCATAAGCTCTTGTGGACTGCAAACTGTGAATGCTGTGTCAGTTGCTTGTTGTTTGAACTGCTTTTCTGAATTACATTTTTTACTTGATTAAAAAAAGGCTCTTTAGCCGCCCCGAGGCTTTTTGCGAATGGGGCGGCATATAAATGTTCCAAATAAATAAATAAACAAACAAACCTAGCAAAATGTAAAACTAAAACTAGTTTATATGTAGTATATGATTACAATTGATGATGTAGCATCACATTTACTATTTCTGGCTATTTATTTCCTATTCATAAAATATCTATATCAGAACTTGCAGTTTCTTTGCAGGAACAAATAGATTTGGTCTATAGCACTGGATTGTGAATTACACACTACCACACAAATGTACCTGTGTTTGATCATTTAGTGACTGGCAATATTATGTAACAAGTCTGGGGAATAACTTGAATTAAAATAGTAACAAATCTGTAATTATGAAAATTCCTGTGCAAGTTCCTATCTGGGGTAGGCACATGTATTCTCTTATTACTGTGATTTAGAGTTCAAACATACTGCTTCTGTTGGAATACAAATAATATTGCTGAAGCCTGAGAAAGCAGGTTAGGTTCTTGGAATGTTAGACTGGTTGTGCTCTTAGACAAAGGGTTCCTAGCACTACCACTCCAAAGACATTGTGTAGCTATTCCATTTTTTCTTATGTAATGGATTTTCTTTGGTAAAGAAAAGACAGAAAAAGTAGTGTGAAAACAGGAGGGGGCTGTGACTGGCGGACCATTGTGTGGATCCCCACACAAGTCTGTGAATAAGTTAGAACAATAGCTATCTCAGAAGTATCGTCTGGAAGCAGCTCAGGAAATGAGAGAGGCTTGATTTGTTGGTCAGTTAGAGTTTTTATATTATATTTTTGTCCATTCTTTTGAAGCCTTACAAATTTAAACCATGAGTTTGATTCAGAATTTACCAGAATGAAATAGCAGCTACCATATAAAAGAATCTAAGGCTCATTGGGCTTTCTTGTCTTTAGTGCTGTATTTAAAAATGCTGATTGTCAGATAAAATGTTCTAAGTGAATAACTGATCCTGCAGTGCTTCATTTCAAATAATTAAGTGTGATAGTTCATTTGGTTTAGCAAAGGTAGAAATTCATGTCTAGTGTTCTCTGGAATATTCTCTCATGGAAAAATACATGTGGTGACTTGAAAAAAGTAGCATTAAGCAGTGAGCATAGCAATGAGTAGGTGAGTCTTCATCATGAACTTTTAAAATATTCCTTATATGAATGCCCTGTGCTTCACGGAAAATAATGAAATGTAGCAGGGGAAAAGTGAAGTTTAGAAATTGCTATGCTTATACTGACAGCCAGAAATACCTCTGAAATTGAGTATAGATAAACTTTCCAGCATAAAATTTTCTGCTTTCCCTAAACAAGATTTAGCTATCTTGTAATAGTCTTGCTTTTTCCTTTAACAGTATTCTGCTTGGTCAGAGTCGTGATGGTATTGTATTCAGCACTGATGATTACTTTCGTCAGAACAATGGATGTTGGTCATATAATGTCTGTCAACTTGGTGCTGCTCATGACTGGAACCAGAAGAGAGGTGTGAATACAATTAGATTTGTTTGTGTTGAGTGCTGTTACAGTGAAAAATTACACAAAATGTAGGAATGTATTCATATAAGAGTTTGCCACAGAAGATCCATTGACACATGCAAGGAATCAGTGAATTATTCCTACATGAAGTAGATACATTTCTCTTTCGGTCTTAGTTTCTCAAGGCCTGGTTGCAAGATGTAATACAGAAAATGTCACCTTTATCCTTTGTGGTTGTTTAGGAGGAAGACTTTTCAACAAATTTCCTCCATGTTTTCTTTTTTTATTTTTTTTTACATTGGTGGGAGGAATTTTATTTGTGTAAATTCTTTACACAGCTATAAACGTCAAAGGAATCCTGTCGAATCTTATATCACTTACATAATCACTTGACTATGTACTAATATTAGTTTTGGGCAACTGTAGATTTTGGTGTTATATAGACTCAAGATGGCTATAGAAACATTTTGGCTCTAATAAAATTGAGATGTGGCTTAAGAGAATTTTGTTATATGAAAAGGGTTATTATTTTTATGGAAAAAAATAAAACTTCAGAACTGCCTTTCTAAAGCCAATCAAAGCATTTCACCTCTCTCTCTCAGTCAAATAAAGTAGTGAAGCATTAAAAGCAGCCTTAAAAACTAATATTTTAACATAATTTTTAAGCAGTGTCCAGACGTTTTGTACTGATTCACTCCCTGACTGCAGAAAGAACAGGGACCCATCACAACTTTGAAGGAATGTCTTTCAGAACACACAAAAAGGCTGTTCCTTGTGTGTCTAACAAGCAGTCCTCTGCAAGTGGGAATGTCTTCAAAACAGCCTCATCTGTTGATCTTAATAACAAAGCATAGTCATGCCAAGAAACTGAGTTCCCTAGATAGCCAGACCCTAATGGCTGAGAGCTCTGAAAGTTTAAAATAAATGCTATGAGTTGAAAAACATGGCTAACAGTGCATATCTTGAGTAAAATGGATTATGCAGTAGCTCCTTCCTCCTGCCCTTCAGGATGATGATAGTGTGCACAATATTACCGCATTTTACCCCATTTGAACTTCTGGGTGCTGTTCAGCAGTAGTGGAAAGCATTGTTGTAATCTTAAATGTGACCAAGGCTTTGTTAGGTTTTGGCAGATCAAGCCTTTGCTGCCACCTGAAATAGGATCCAGGAGGACCCTAAGCTATGAACCTGATCTTCCAGGAACAGTGGAACTCCATCAAGAACAAAGCTGAATTTTAATCCCCACCCAAGCTTTTTTCTGACCAGTGGCACCTCTTCTTGTCTGGGTTTAATCTCAGCTTGTTCACCATCCTCCAGTCCATAACTGAATTTGGCCAATATTAAAGGAAGTTGATGACTTCCTTCAAGTCAAGTGACAAGTAAAATAGTTGAGTATTATTAGCATACCAATAGCTTCTCAGTGATGTCTTGCAGTGATTTCATGTATGTGTTAAATAATAACAAAGGGAACCTGGCAGACTCATGTGGGAATCCATAAGCTAGAGGTTGCTCTGCTTAACAGTAGTCTGCCAACACTAACTTCTGGACAGGAAGGATAGATACCAAACTAATATACTATCCCCAAGGCCCAAGCCTGACAGGCAATCTAGAAGGATACTATGGCTGATGGTTTTGAAAGCCTCAGAGAGGTCCAAGCTAATGGTATAGTTCTCATCCCAAATTGTGACTTTTGTACCCCAGGTTCACATTCTGTACTGTAATTTACATATAAGTAGTCTTACCAATTTGTACTTTTACAACATTTTCACGGAGTACCTAGTCTAAAATATCCCTGAAATTCAGCTCTTGAAAAAATGAAAAAATAAAATAAAATTGCCTGAGTGACACTCCTGAAACACTATAGGTATAGCTGGGCATGGTGAGTTTGAGACCCCAAGTAAAGGTCCCAAAAAAAGGTGCAAAGCAAGGTTCAAGATAAAATTGCCAGCAGACAGAACGAAAATCAATTGAGGGAAAGCCATATATGATTTTTTAAATTTAGCAGGACAAAAATATTGTTACATAGAGAGAAGTCAATTGTCTTCCTACTACTGTTATACAGATTTTCTTGGGTTGCATAGCCTCTGGAAGAATTAAAACGTAAATTACTTGTTCTTGTTGGCAACTGAAAGCCATTCTTTTGCTGATTGCAACCCCTCAAGCAAAAATTCAAGCTAGAATAAAGGTTTTTAGGATTTTGCATTTTTATAACCTCAGGCATTTTCTTCTGGGGTTCTGAAGTCATCCCAGAACTGATACCTGTTGGGTTTTTTTTTTCTTTTTCTTTTTCTTTCTTTCTTTTTTCTTTTTTTTTTTTTTTTTTGAGGGGGGGAGACGACTTTTAATTTATCTAACTTTATTACTTGATGAAAATTCTGTTTATTAGTGGTATTTATATAACTGAGTTATTAATATAATCTTTATTTCAGCAAAACAAGCAATGGACCAGGGAAGATCCCCAATTATAATAGACAACACTAATACACAAGCCTGGGAAATGAAGCCTTATGTAGAAGCGGTAAATAAAGCAGCTTCTTTCTTGGTGGGCAAAGCTAATTTGTCTGCAAATGATTTAAATATTACTTTTGTCATATGCTACATGTTATACTATCATCAACTTGTTCTGTTGAGGATTCAATGAATCTTAAGATTTTTTACAAGGAAAAAACCCTGGTGTTTATTTAACTTAGAATGCAATCCTGTACATGTGTTCTGATAAGTGAGACCAACCGCATTTGAGATTGCAGCCTTAATCACAAAAAAGTTACTATTCTTTTTATAACAAAGCTGTTTGTTTGCTTAGGCCCTAGAAAAAGGCTACCGAGTGGAATTTCGTGAACCAGACACATGGTGGAAGTTTAACCCTGAGGAATTAGAAAAGTAAGATTTATATTTTAATTGTTTGAAAAAAATATTTCTAATGTTTGATTTGTTATGTTATTGTGCTACCATATACAGCTCCTGCATAGCTCCCTATATGTATTTATCTTTTCTCCCTATTCCAACATGAGGTTTGATATCAGATTCTGTGGGATATAGAATGCAAGCTGTCCTTGACAACTGATGTATCGGGTCTTAATGAGATCTGGGTTCTACACAGATGCTAGCTAGACCCTCTTTTTTACTTTTTTGGTTCTTTCTTCTTCCTGATATTTGGTGGAACTGAATAGCTTTTTGAAAATAATTTTAAATCTGCCTCTAGGCATAGATTTTGTGTAATTTCATAACTTGGAACCCATAAAATCACAGCAGAGAATGCTGTATTCCTGCTTCCTGCTTTTCTGCAGCTCCTGAAACTTACCCCTGAGGTGTGTGGGATGTGACATGGAGGGTTCTGCAGCAAAGAGAAATTGGTGTAAATTAGGGATTTGCTCTTTTCTGAACAGAAGTGCCTTCTGCTTATGCTGTCATTTCATTGGATCCAAGCTGCTAGTTATAATTCTTTGAGAATGCAGCAAGTGGAAGCAATTATTAGGTGTGCTTATATATCTAGACATACAAGCTAGGCTTTATAGGATTTAAAGCCTTTGACTTGGAGGGGCTATTTTATCATTTAAATGAAAATCTTGGAACTTTAGTATGTTATCTCTTCTATCTTGAAGTCAAATGTGATTATGCTTGCTACTTAGCATTTTAATATACATTAAATTTAATAGTACCAAAGTCCCTGTCTCAAGTCAGTTGATAACACATTCCACATTTAGTCCCAGGGATTACTAAAAATTAAATCCAAGGATGACCCCTCTCTGGTTTAGGATATCTATGATCTTTTTTCTTTTTTTTTCTTTTTGTGTATGACTGAAATATGCATTCATCCAGCTTGTATCAGGGTAACTTAAGTCACCTATTAGTACAAATATATCTCATTTGTATGCCTCCCTGCTTTCATTCTCTATCTCAAGATTACTCTAGCATTGTGTTCAGGGGGCAATAGCATGTCCTCAGTGCTAGATTATTCCTGGGGCTTATCATTGATACTTCAGCAATTCTGTAGAGGCCTGTGCCTTCTGAAGTTTCTAGTGCAATTGATGTGCAGAGTGCCACCACTCTCACTGCACCATTCCTTTTACTTTCTGTAAGTAACTTATTTTATATTGTTAACTTGTTTTATATTGTTAATTTATAGTATTTTAATTGATTTATTTGTGAGCTGCCCTGAGGCTTCGGCGAATGGGGCGGCATAGACATTTTCTAAATAAAATAAAAATAAAATAAAATAAAATAAATCTCATACTGGAAACTTCTCAACTTTCTTCCAGGGATCTGCCCTGTCCCTTTTTCGTGCTTCAGATCTCTTGTACAAACCCAGCTTGTGTTAAAAAGATCTCTTTTGCCTATCAGTTCTAAAACCCTCTTCCATTCACATATATCTTTGCCTCTGCATAGTAGGCTGTGCTTCTAGAAATCCTAGCATTTGTCCTCCTACATACCAAACTAAATTTTACTTTCAGTTTTGCTTGATTAGATTTTCCCATGTCACTGGCATGCACAACAATCGCTGATTCCACTCCAATGCTACTTACTAGGGACATCCTCAACCTTTGTATAAGGCAGACATATGTTCTCTCTTCTGGTCACAAACCCAGCTGTAAATCACCAAGAGCTCCATTGATGCTTTGGTCTCATTCTGTTGTTAAATCACCTACCAGTTTCACGTCTTAATGCCCCAGCGCTTTGTCACTGGGATTCTCCCTTGTGCTCATACAGCTGGCCTCCTTCACAGCCCTGTTCTGCTTCCTGGACTACTGCTCAACATTTTTGCTAAACTTGCACATAAAACTCCTTCATTCCGGATTGCAGCTCCCTAGGACAGGTATACTGCTTAAACAGCTTTATAGCTACACAGCAAAAGGATGTGGTGGCTCAGTGGGTTAAACTGCTGAGCTGCTGGGCTGGTTGACTGAAAGGTTGACAGTTCGAATCCACAGATGGGGTGAGTCCTGTACTCTGTCCCAGCTTCTGCCAATCTTGCAGTTCAAAACATACAAATGCAAGTAGATAAAAAGGTACCACTTTGGTGGGAAGGTAACAGTGTTCCGCGCACCTCGGTGTTTAGTCATGCTGGCCACATGACCACAGAAACTGTCTGCGGACAAACGCTGGCTCCCTCGGCTAGGAAACAGAGATGAGCACTGCCCCCAAGAGTCAGACATGACTGAACTTTAATGTCATGGGGAAACTTTTACCTTTTACCTATACTATAGGTCCTATAGCTACACAGCCCAAACTAATTCAGTGATTCATCTCAAGCAGCAGAAAGCTTTCTGACCATAACAGTATGCTAGAGCTCATGGCAGCAGGTATGGGGGTAGCAGGTTAAACAGATACAGTGGTACCTTGGCTCACAAATGCATCAGTTCACGACTAAATCAGGTTGCGGACAGAAATTTCAGGAAAAAAAATTCCTCAGGTCGTGAACTCCGCATTGGGTGATGATCACGATTGCTCCTGTCTTCCCTACACGGGTGCAATTGCGGTCATATTTGGGGGAGAGATTGTTGTGATTGCACCCATCTTCCCTGCCCGAGCGTGACCGCAATTGTGCCCATCTATGGTTGCGATGACGGTTGCGCTCGGGCAGGGAACATGGGCGTGATCGTGGTCATGCTCTGGGGGAGATGGCTACAATCATGCTTGGGGGGAGGGGAGATGGCCGCGATCTTTGTTGTTCTTTGTCACTTTGCTTCAAATTTTTGTGATTAAAAAAATAGTTGCAGAACGGATTAACCTTATTTACATTGAACCTTATGGGGAAATTTGACTTGGTTCACAACCAATTTGGGTCATGACCAGAGTTGTGGAACAGATTAAGTTCGTGAGCCAAGGTACCACTGTACAACATCAGAACACTAAGGTGCCTCTAGTAAACAGCCACTATTTCATTCCCTTCTAGGCCCCATTACCCTTTCCATATAAAACTCGTGTTTGTTGCACCCTTTTGTTTGCTCTGGATTGCCACAGTCTGCTGGAGGTGGTTCATCATTTTGCTTATTAATGGAAAACTGCTATAGGGAAACTGCTAGTTTGAGTAAAGGAATGACAGGAGGAAGGAGCTACTGCTAATCCATTTTACTCAAAATTGTTTGATGTCTGCTGTCTTTTTTACCTGTGGGTGAAAAAATATGGGAACTAGCTTGGCCCTGATATGTTTTTTGAAACAGACAGTCTGAAAGTATTTTGAAAGATTGTGTAAGTTGATCAGAGATGAACTTAACTTCTTGTTTTTGTAGGAGGAACCAACATGGGGTCATTCGTGAGAAGATTGTTCAAATGCTGGAAAGATATGAATATCAAATTTCCATACCAATTGTCATGAATTCTGTTCTGCCTTTACACAAAATTTCACAAACACCACCTCCACAAAGAAGACAGAGGTGGGGAGGCTGTTCAGACTCTTGGAATACTTTCAGTGTATTAAATAGTCGCTAATAATGTATCAAATAATTCAGGGTATGCTTAACTGAGGCCAGTTCCTCTCAAAAAGGCTACAATTCAGCACAGAGTTAGTGAATTCCATTCTGTTGAAATCAGTGGTCTTAAGTGTACCAAACTTCATGGAATTATTGTGAGACAATTCAAGTGACTTTCTTTTAAGGTTTAAATAGTTTCAGTGTAGATAATTACCTAATGGTGACTGTTTATAAAAATGTAATTAGTTAATAAAATTGAATGGTAATTTTTTAAAAAATATATATTTGTACTAATCTTGGTTTTAATGAAACCCTTTGATAAGGTGGATATACCGTGTGGTTTATTGTAGTTTAACATGGTTTTTGTTTAAATGGAAACTGCTGAGCAGTGGGTTTTTTTGTTTTGTTTTTTGAAGAACTCTAAATAGAAATAATGAATTCTTAATAAGTGCAGGTAACTAGAAGAATATCTTTTAATATAGGTATTATTTTCTCCACCTTTAATTGACATTCCAATTGTATAAGTGGTTATTTCATTTAGCAGTTCACATACGAATCTAGTGTTGACATTAACTCCAAGTTCTTGCCTTTCCATTTTTTAATCCTTGAGGTTTGTCTATACAGACAGTAAGCTAAAAAAATGTTAAGATTTTTCAGTTAAACCCTGACTTCAGTACATCTGCATGCAGAATGTAGTTTTATATGAAAACTTGCTAAGCTTGCTTTTGAATTTTGAATTTGAAGATTTATATTGTCATTTTCTAAGTTCAAACTGCTGTGCTATATGAAAACTTGCTTTTTTGGTGTGGTTATAGTTTTGTTACGAAAGAAGCAATCAGGTAAATATGTTAAAATCTGGAACTGTATGCATATATATGGACTTTAACACACTTAATGAAAACCACTTCGGAATCATATATAGGCAATAGTCAGTTCATTAGTAGGTTGAGGCTGAGCTGGCATTGGGTTTTTGATATTTTTTTAACCGTGCAGAGAAGCTTTACTAGATGTTTGCCTTCTTAAAAAATCTCAAATTATGTGCTCCCTTAACATTGTTTGAGCAATGCAGTGTCAGTGTAATACAATAAGTGTATTGACTTTGAACATTGTTGTTTTTTACTTCAATGAAAATATTAAAAATACTAATGTGATCATTAGGGATCTTCTGTTCTAGATTAAAAGGGAGCTGTATAGATCTATAGATGCTAAAAGGTTTGACAGTAAAAAAAAATAAAATAAAACAGCTTATTTCAGTTTTGCAATTTTTTTTTATGAGGCCCTTGCCATCCCATTTCACCACTGTTATTCCAAGTGCCTGCCTTTGCTCTTTAAAATACAGGAGACCTCCCCACCATACTGCTTGTTTTTTTTCTGTTAAAAATGTTTTTCCCTCCTTCTTTTTTGCTCTTCAGCATGGGAAATGAAACCTATTTGCCTCTGTACTGTATTCATGTGATCTTTAAATATTTGGGTTTCATATGAATTTCTAAACTTCATTTTTTAAAATTTGCCCAGCATGTAATTTATTTGGCATGTTTGCTCTTGTAGCAAGTGTTGTGATTTACTGACCATGTACAGTGGTACCTCGGTTCATGAACTTAATTCGTTCCACGATTCTGGTCATGACCCAAATTGGTCGCGAACCAAGTAAAATTTCCCCATTAGGTTCAATGTAAATAAGGTTAAACTGTTCAATATTTTTTTTTAACTATAAAAATATGAGCCACATCCCCGAGCTGTGGGCCAAGCCACTGTTGCCTCGCTGAGCCCAGTGGTGGATGGGCCGGAGTGGGAGTGAGGCCGCAGCTCCTGTGCCTCCACCACGGCATTGTCAGGGCAAGCCGCCGCCACCAAGCAGCTGTCATGCTTCTTCCCCTCGCAGCGGGGAGAGGCAGGAGGCGCCCCACTTGGCCAGCCACCGCCTCGTCTCTCGCCTCCCCTCGCCTTGGCCCATGAAAAGCAGCCCTTACCTCCCTCCTCGCAGCCCTTTCCCAGCCAGGGGAACTGCCCCGCACTCACCTCTCCAGCCTCCCACTCCTGCTCCCCTCCTGGAGCCAGGCAAGAACCTGCAAGGGGGGGCCTTCCTCCTGCTTGGAAGTGGGGCAGCAGCGAGGAGCCAGGAAGGCCTCGACCAAGATGAGCATTCCCTCCTGGCTCCCCCTCGTGGTGGGTGGGGATAAGGTCATTGTTTGGAGTGTTCGTGCCGGGGAGACAGCTGTGATTGCAATCGTGTTCGCTTGGGAACATGGCTGTGATCGTGGTCATCACCCATTGTGGAGTTCGTGAACGGAGGCAAAATTTTGCCAAAAGTTTTGTTTGTGATCTGATTTGGTCATGAACTGAGGGTATTCGTGAACCAAGGTACCACCGTATAAGAAGAGAAATACTAACTATAACATAAACTTCTCCAGTGTCAAGCTCCATTGAGAATAGATAAGTGTGGCCAAAGAGCACAGGACTTGTAAGCATATAGCCAGTAAAGCACATGTTTTAAGATATATTACATCTATCCTAATTGAAGAACACAACAAGGGTGTTGCAAAAATGAGTCATGGTTCAAGTTAAGAAGAGGCTGAAGATCAAATAGATTTGTACAGTGGACATTTCTTGTTCTGTTCTTGTTCTCTCAACCTCACCAATTAATATAGACTCATGTAAGAGACATTCTTTCTGTATTGTTCTGAATTTGCCAAGATCTCATAGATATGTCAGCCTTGCATTGGTGGAAGCGTATTTTCAACAGGATGTTGGAGAAGTAGAAAAAGTTGAGTAGTTATAGCTGAATAGTGCAGGACAGTATTTGGGAGAGGGGCTGGATTGCCCTCCCACCAGGCCCTCTACAGGCTGGAAGATTTTGGTGGATATTGCTGCACGGGCTGCCATCAGCTCACCCTTGAGCATTTTAGTCTTTCTCCATGCTGGTCATGGGGGGGGGGGGCATTGTGCCCCTGGGAGGAGTGGCTACTATGCATGGCACTAGCTGAGTTCCTGTCTTTGTGTGGTGCCCCCCAAAGTGCAGTTGCTGTTTCCAGTGCTGGCAGGGTCTCCTGCCACCCACATCTCCACTGTTATCTCTGCTCTGAGATTGGAGATAACTGAAAATTTCCCTCAAGGAAGGAAGCCTAGGAAGCTCTGATTGGAGGCTTTACCACACCACTTACAGGAACCCTAGGGTTTGGTGAGTTGGGGATTCCATAAAATTTTGTTAACAAAGTTAAGATAATCTGACTGGGATCCAGACTCATTCCACCTGCGTGCGGAAACTGTTAAGCCCTCCCCTTGGGCCCAACCTTGCATACCTTCTAAAAAAACTCAAGAAGGTCCTCTTGGAATTGTGGATTACAACTATTAGCAGCCCCAACCAGCATGACCAACTTACAGTGATAGTAGGAATTGTAGTCTATTACATCTAGAATGCACCAGGTTGCATGCCAGGGTATAAGACATAGGGAGCGAGTCTCCAAAGGACTAATGCCTTCTCTTATGCATGAGCTTCCACTGTACCACTTGAATGGGGGTGGGGGATACTGCTGTGAGTCTTTTTGGGAAGAATGGCTCAAAATAGTTCCATTTTTTAAAAGCCAAACAGCTTAAAAACTAACATCTACCAAAAGCATACCATAGTACTCAGTGGTTGAACTTGGAAAAGCAGAAACATTAAAGATAAAAATCCTGATCCAGAAATGCTGAAACAGAAGACATCCATTGTTACTTGTAACACGCTGATGGTTTGTAAAGGTATTGAATGTGATTATTTATTCTCACCCATGTCAAGAGACTGATAGGAAAGTTCACTGTCATCTGTCCTGTTGTCTATGGACTTGTTGCCCCACTGGTGTAAATTGATTTAATTTTTACCTTTTGCCCTAGTGCAGCAGCCTCCAGTTATTAAATGTACATACAGAACATGGATCTCTGGATCCATCCTGCTTTGCCCGATTCAGTGAAGATCAGTGTAGACTTGCAAATGAAGATTACATGGTTCTATGTGCACAGAATCTTACAATATAGAGGTGTTCACTAGATCAGATGGAATAAGGATAGATTTGTTATATAGTCATATGCTAAGGCCCTCAGTTTCTTCTGTTTGATGCGAACAATATTGTCTGCTGAGATGCACTTTTGTTGAGGTATTTTTCATTGTTGAGCATTGATTATTGAAGGTTTTTGCTAGCATGACTTTATGTTCCCTTTTGCTTTTTTTTTGTTTTTTTTTTAAAGATAAACAGAAAGGGTCAAAGGCTGCTATAATTCAGACTCAAAAGTTAGGAATAAAATCTAGATATTTAATGTCTGCTGACTTCTGTGTGACCTATTTTAATTTGTATTATTAAATGTACATGTAAGTGTTTTTAATAGAAATGTTATTAAATCTAACATTTTGAATTATAATTTTGTTGTGTAAATATTCTTCAGAAAGTGAATATAAAGTTTCATAACTTTAATATGTTAATATCTTTAACAATGTATACATATGTCTTTTAATTTCTGCACTAATATTTTGGAGATATATATACTTTTTCATTTATTTTGTAACTGTTTCACAACTGGTAAGTGAAATATGTAGTGGGCTTTGGCTGTAGCTCCTCCTGTTCATACTTGTGATGCATTGGTATGAGTATACATGGGTGGATATTCCTGTTAGAACAGAATAGTAGAGTAGAGTTGGAAGGGGCCAGGCCGTCAGGTCCAATCCCCTGCTATAGCAGGATACTAAGTTACACTGTCGCTTTCAGATGACTGTCCAGACGCTTTGTGATTGTCTCTAGCGAGGGAGAACCTGCAACTTCCCCAGTAATAGGTTCCATTGCCATACTGCCCTGACAGGAAATTCTTCCAGGTGTCTAGTCTGAATCTGGTTTCTTTTAACTTAAGCCTGTTATTCTGTGACCTGCACTCTGGAATGGACAAGAAGAGATCTTGTCCTTGCCCTTTGGGACAGTCTTTCAGATACTTGTAGAGTG